CTCTTAGGAACTTGTATTATTGTAGTTTTATTTTCAATTGCTAAATTCCAAACATAATTGCCAGAAAAAAAAACCCATGCAAGTATTTCTCTTGGAGTAATTTCTACCAAAAAGAATAAATGTATCTTCATTTTTCAACTAAATGGCTGTGACTTTGCTGTGCCTTAACTGAATTTCTCCTTTTGTTTTCTAAACGTAAAATATCAGCAGGCTAATCCATTTTTTTCCACCGTGACTCTTCATATTTTTCTAAACAGACTCTTAAATATATTATTTTGACTAGGTTTATTAGAACATGGGTTCCGAAATGGAGTTTAGCATGACATTTGAAACCAATGTAAAAAAATAAAATGAAAAGCAAAACTTTGGAATCTTATGTCGGAGCACAGCTTCAAAACAAATTAAGAGTATCACAGCATGTAACAGCAATAATGATGATTTCCATTACATTGGTGAGATCAGGTTGCTCCCTGTTCAGTCCGGATTGGATGAACAGGTAATGGCAGCGGTGGGAGGCTCCACCCACCCGCCCGCACAGAAGCGGCGCACGAGCAAACCGGTAGTAAAAAAATTGGCAACCCACCACTGGGTGATGAAATATGTGTGTGTATATATGATATGAAATATGTGTGTATATATATTTACAAAAACTCTTCTTATTTTCTTTTTTAAGCTTTCTGAACGTTTGAAAGTGGTGGACGTGATAGGTACCAAAATATATAAAGACGGGGAACAAATAATTGTTCAGGTAATTTACTTCATTGTTCTACGTGTTTATTATTCTGTTATTCTTTAGTTATTTAAGAGCACAATGACTTATTGTTATAAAGGATTTTCTGAGGCAAAACCACCTGAAAAACAGCGATCAAAAGCTTTTTTTCCTCTTTCCTTTTTCATGTCCACTCCCTCCCTTTTCAAAAAGAGAGAATGATGATGGCATTGCCTAACACCTGGATTTTCAGAAAGTAGCTTATTCTAACTCTCTTAAGAGATATTAAGGGGTGGTTGAGGCACAACCTTGTTTAACTCCCCTGTAGAGAAACTGTTGGACCTACCACAACTTAAATCTCTTTAAAAAAAAAAAACCTGGCTTCATTTGTTGAGAAAGGTATAGTTTACATTAGAACTTCTGTTTATATACAGCACCGCAGAACAAGGAGTACAGTCACCATGTGCTTTACTGCTCAACTGAAACAGGAAAATTTACTTAGAACAAAAGAGCATAGTATGTATACCGTAGCTCCAAACTTGTAAACACTGCCATCTACTGGCTGAATACTACTGTAATTGTTCAACAGAAGTGCATTCCAACAGTGAAGTCCAACAGTTTATTAGAGATGAAGTGTATTGCAGTAGCGCAAAACCAAAACTGAAAATCACACACCAAAATCTCTAGCGTTTCCTTCCCTTAAATGTCTCTCATTGCCCAAAGCAGAGTAACCAATCAGGTTTTATGGAGCCGAGGTGGCGCAGTGGTTAGGGTGCAGTACTGCAGGCCATTTCAGCTGACTGTTATTTGCAGTTCAGCGGTTCAAATCTCACCGGCTCAAGGTTGACTCAGCCTTCCATCCTTCCAAGGTGGGTGAAATGAGGACCCAGACTGGGGGGGCGATATGCTGACTCTGTAAACCACTTAGAGACGGCTGAAAGCCCTATGAAGCGGTATATAAGTCTAACTGCTATTGCTATTAAGGCAAGATGTCTTCATAACGGTCACTCTAAGTATAGTTTGGTACGCGGCCCCTTCCTTCTTCCCGCTGGGTGACCTTGAGGCAGCCCCTCAAGGTGATACAGTGCTTCCTTTTGTTTCCCCAAGCATTTAATGACCGTTCAATGTTACAACAGCACTGAAAAAAGTGACGGACGACCATTTTTCTCACAAAATGGGGCAGCATCCCCATGGTCACATGATCAAAATGGTTCCACCACAAATGCGCGAACGACAAAAGCGCGCCTGACTAAACCGCGGTGACAAAATGGCGCCGACGAATGAGCGCTGAAGCGCGCCGAGAGAAGCACGCTGTAACCCTAACCCTAAACCAAACCCTAAACCAACCCTAAACCTAACCCTAAACCTAACCCTAAACCTTACCTTAACTTAAATCGCGCTTCTGTCGGCGCGCTGTGTTGGCGCGCTGTTTTTGGCGTGCTTTTGACATCGCGGTTTTAGCGCCACGGTTTTGTCGGCACGCTTTTGTCGTTCGCACATTTGTTGGGTCACGGATCAAAATTCAGATGCTTGGAAATTGGTTCATACTTATGACCATTGCTGAGTCCCAGGGTCATGTGATCAGCTTCTACAACATTCTGGCAATCAAAATCCATGCGAAATCCAGATTCACTTAACAATTATGTCGCTCACTTAACAAATGCAATGATTCACTTAACAACTATGGCAAGAAGAGTCATAAAACGGACCAAACTCACTTGAGAAATGTTTCACTCAGCAGCATAAATTTTGGACTCAATTATGGTCGTAATTCGAGGACTACCTGTAATTACCAAATGACTAATTGGTAGAGAAGGTACACTTCTGAATACTTCTGCTAAATTTCTTCAAGTGCCTGCAATAACATTACTATTATTTTATTTGTACCATTTCTGAGAATTAACTGATCGATCGATTGATGGATTTGGGGATATTTTTTAAAAAAGTTTCTACTTAAAAAAACAATGCTAGAATTATTAAACAATTGTCTTTTTATGTTTTTATTATTCTCAACTCTCTGTAGGGAGACACGGCGGACAGTTTCTATATTGTCGAATCTGGAGAAGTGAAAATTACGATGAAAAGAAAGGTACCATCCTTCAAGAATTATTAAAATGGTTTTCAGTCGACTCGGTTAGATCAATGCCGATTAAAAATAATGTAATAATGCATTAATTTATTGATAAAATCATTTATCAATTAAATTGGCGGTGGGGTTCCAAATCTTTTCCTCCTGGGTTTATGTGCATGCGCTCAAAGACCGCCCTCGGTGTCAGCTATTGTTTACCTCAGCTGAGGTGCGGCAATCCGCTCTCCCGTGCAAATCAGCTGAGCTAAAAAACAAGGGAATATAAGACAGAGAACAGCGGGGGTGGGTGGGCAAGGCCAACCAGAGGTGATATTTGCCGGTTCTTCAAACTACTCAAAATTTCTGCCAGCAGTTCACCAGAACCGGTGCGAACCGGCTGAATACCGCTTCTGAATTAAATGATAAAACGGATTTTTATCTTGGCTGCATTGAGGTAAATGTTTGTGTGTTTTGTTTTTTGTTTTTTTTACTTCCCAGGGCAAACAAGACATAGATGGAAACGAAGCGGTGGAAATCGCCCGCTATACCAGAGGGCAGTATTTTGGCGAATTGGCGCTTGTAACGAACAAACCTCGAGCTGCTTCGGCCTTCGCCCTTGGCACCGTCAAGTGCTTAAGTAAGGCAGAGGGCTTGCATTTTGGAACATAAGTTTGTTTCTGGTTTGGGGTAGCCTTTTTTTAATTAAAAAAGGTCGGCATAACAATTAAAAAAGAACGCTTATACAGAAACAAACGAAGCAAACAGATTGAATATCAGAATCAGAATAGAGCTGGAAGGGACCTTGGAGGCCTACTAGTCCAGCCCCTGTTCAAGCAGGAGACCCTGTACCATTTCAAGACAGGTAGCTGTCCAGTCTCTTCTTAAAAACCTCCAGTGACATTCAATCAATCAATCAATCAATCAATCAATCAATCAGAATAGAGCTGGAAGGGACCCTGGAGATCTTCTAGACCAGCCCCCTGCTCAAGCAGGAGACCTATACCATTTCAGATGAATGAATGACCAGCCACTTTTAAAAATCCTCCAATGATAAAGCACCCACAACTTCTGGAGGCCAGCTGTTCCACTGGTTAATTGTCCTCACTGTTAGGAAGTTTCTGCTCAATTCCAGGTTGCTTCTCCCTTTGGTTAATTTCCAACCATTGTTTCTTGTCCTGCCCTCTGATGCTTCGGAAAATAAGTTGACCCCCCTCTTCTTTGTGGCAGCCCCTCAAATACCAGAATACTGCTATTACGTTCCCCCTAGTTCTTCTTTTCTCTAGACTAGCCCAACCCAATTCCTCTAACCGTTCTTCATATGTTTTAGTCTCCACTACCTGATAAAACTCTCGCTGCCCCGATATTTATTCATCCCAATCCTCCTCCCATGAACATCACAACAATTTCTAATATTGGATTTTCCCCCTTACCAGAGGGAGCCCCCTTGTGGAGTACTGTGAAGCCGTTAGCATGGCAACTCCACAGAGCTGTACAGTAGAATCCATTTTATGGAAGTATGGTAGAAGCCGTTTTAAGGCACAACAGGCTGTATCTTAACAGAACATGCCCCCCCCCCCCAGGGGTGTCAATCACCAATTGCATCTGCCTGCCACCCGATTTACTGGGGGCTATTTGTCCCATGCAGCCCCAGGGGTGTCTTACCCCACAGTGTTTGTTTCTAGAGGGTAAGCAATTTGGTTGAAATTGCTCAAGGCATTCCAGAGTTATGCTGGAACATACACACAGCCTTTTGTGTGTGTGTATATCTGTCTGTCTGTCTGTCTGTCTGTCTGTCTCTCTGTCTGTATATATGGGTGTAGGTATGCTGGTCTTGTTGTATTTGGGTCTTTTCCCATGTATCTCAATCTCAATCTTACACAGGAAATAAATACAAATACAAATACAATATATATATATATAGTTATATAGTTATATGGTTATATGGTTATATGGTTATATGGTTATATGGTTATATGGTTATATGGTTATATGGTTATATGGTTATATAGTTAGTTACATAGTTAGTTATATAGTTAGTTATATAGTTATATAGTTAGTTATATAGTTATATAGTTATATAGTTATATAGTTATATAGTTATATAGTTATATAGTTATATAGTTATATAGTTATATANTCTGACAGTTAGAACAATTAAATCACCGGAGGAACTTGCCTCCAGAAGTTGTGAATGCCCCAACACTGGAAGTCTTTAAGAAGATGTTGGATAGCCATTTGTCTGGAACGATATAGGGTTTCCTGCCTAGACAGGGGGTTGGACTAGAAGACCTCCAAGGTCCCTTCCAATTCTGCTATTGTATTTGTATTTAAATGTTGGCAAAAGATAGACAACAACATAGATGAGCAATTGTGAAGAGTGGTGGTGGTGGGGACTGAGCATAATATCTTTGTCTCAGCCTGATTCATTGTGGGCTGTTGTCTCCTTCGGTCCAGCATTATCTTCATTTACTTTAGGGACATAAAGCAAGGATAAGTTTAGTTGATCTGCAGCATTTTGATCTGGCAACTTAATCCCAGCTAACTGAGAAGAAAAAAAAGAGGAGCGAGATTGATTATAATTATAGTCTGGCAACTAATGTTTACAGTTAAAGATAGACAAGCATGTTGGAACATATGAAACAATTGTTCATCCTTTATTTACAAGTTGGTGGGTAGGGATGCCTCAGTGTCACGGTCCAAAGAAACATTATTGCCTTTCCTTGCCTATGCTGAGGTTCAAAACAAGCATGAGTTGCTCCCTATGTTTGTTGAATGTGCCTGGCCCCTTTGCAAATGTTAGCTATTTGATTATAGGGAATGCACTCATGAGTTATGGGAAATGTATTTTTGAAGTCACATTTGAATTGTGCAATGGTATACAGATAATGTTGCACCAGCTTTAACTGAAATTTTTTTTCCCCTAGCCCCGCATTTAGCTTGTTCAGCAGACATTGATTTTTCATGGTAGAAGAACTCATTAGATTTTTGGCAAAGGCCCAGAGACAAAGCAGCCGATTAGACTGTGGACACACCTGAGTGTGCAACTGAAGACAGCCCCCTGGATACTTTTGTATGTTTTCACAGGTGGATTTTAGCTAAATTAGTAATGGGAGCTCACCTCCGATTCATTTTCCCTTCTGGCTCAGCCAGAGTGTGCCCACATGCAAGATTTGGAATTCTAAAAGGCTAGTGAAATAGCAACCAGAATAATTGTTTAGTTAAGCTTAAAGGAAAATAAAACAGCAGCTTTTAAACTGTTGCAGTAGTTCCATATAAAATTATTGGATTAAATCATCAATTCTTAATCCTGATCAAAAGAGAAGGCAGAATCCATATAAATACAGGTGTACACCTTTGGCCTGCATTTACTTTTGGCTTTTATATTACCCCCTTCTTTGTGTTATCCCATATCCTTGCTTCTTTCTCTCTGTGCTCTGTATCTAATTGTACTGTTCAAATTCTGGACAATTTAAGCATTGTCTTTCTGTTTTCTCCCCCTGTACATCTAGATTGGGGCCATTCTGTTGAGGGGGGAGGGGGTAGTCATTCCACTAGGTATGGGACACCATCTTTTCTAATACAATATAAATGATGCCTACTTACCCATGTGTGAGGTTTTCCTAAACAAGGAAGCTAAGGAATTATAGTACAGTATAGCTGCACATAGATATATAGTAGTAAAAACCTGGAGAGCGTCAAGCAGGGGTGAAATCCAACAGGTTCTGACAGGTTCTGGAGAACTGGTAGTGGAAATTTTGAGTAGTTTGGAGAACTGGCAAATGCCACCTCTGTCTGGCCCCAGAGTGGGGTGGAAATGAAGATTTTGCAGTATCCTTTCCTTGGAGTGGGGTAAGAATGGAGATTTTGCAGAATCCTTCCACTGGAGTGGGGTGGGAATAGCGATTTTGCAGTATTCTTTCCTTGGAGTGGGGTAAGAATGGAGAATCCTTCCACTGGAGTAGGGTGGTAATCAAGATTTTGCAGTGTCCTTCCCCTGCCACACCCTCCAATCCACACCACACCCACCAAGCGTGTGATATTTATTCATCACATTTCTATACAGCTTATCTCACCTATGTGACCCTATATGAACTTTACAGTACAACCACTGTTCAATGCACAAAAACCTATTTTGTTTGTTTTGGTACTGATATTCAATAAATTTATTGAATTCATAATCCAAAGGAAAATCATTATGAATTTTTAATTGTTTCTATACTAATTGTAGAAAATGATACACAATTATTTGTAATCCATTCTGCAATATTTTATTAGGTAGTTTAACGTCTGTCAATATTTCTTTATAAGTAACCTACATATGCTCTACGTAACTGAAAATAATAATAATTATTAGATTAAAAATGGGGCTATAGGTGTTGACTAACTATCACTATGTTGTGTGCCAGCTAAGGCCCTTACTGATCAATTATCACCAACATATGTTTGAAATTAGGCTGGTTTTTCTCCAAAGTGATATTAACATTTTGACTGCTTTGTGGTTATGTTGTCAGTTCAAGTGAGTGGGAGATATAAAGATTTCTTCGTAATAAATTAGAGAATTGGCCAGGCTAAAGCACTGAAGGAATTTTTGTAGAAAGAAACTAAAAACATAAAAAGTGTCTTTTAGTTTTGTCAGTACTGAAAATAAGAAAACAAAGAGGACAGCAGAACCATTGATAAAAAGAGGGATTTGTGATTGAAAATAAATTAGGAGATGGAAATAAAGTTCCTTCCAACCCTTACTTTCTACAAAATAACACCTTCATTTCCAAGACCTTAGAAAGTATTTCTTGTGTCACAGTGAAGTAAGATGAAACATTATCAAAAGATGTGGTTCAAAGGAAGACATTATGCAATAAAGTACATTATTGGAATGTAGCCAATCCGATACTCAATCTTGGGGAAAAAAACATTATAGATAGCAAAATTGGAATACTGAGTTGTGGTGGCACAGTGGTTAGAGTTCAGTACTGCAGGCTACTGTAGGCTACTTCTGCTGATTACTGGCTGATCATTGGCTGCCAGCAGTTTGGCAGATCGAATCTCACCAGGCTCAAGTTTGACTCATCCTTCCCTCCTTCCAAGGGTGGTAAAATGAGGACCCAGATTGTTAGGGGCCATAGGCTGACTCTGTAAAAACAGCTTAGAGAGGGCTGTAAAGCACTGTGAAGCAGTATGCAAGTCTAAGTTCTATAGCTATTGCTATAAACCAAGCAGAAGAAAATCTTCAAGAGGAGGCAACATTGGGTGAGGCAACAATTACTTTTTTTCTTGAGAACTACTACATCCCAGTGGTCTTTATTTTACTATAATATATCCACTGTTGTTTGAAGAACGACACTATTGTTCAATGGTCAAGCACCTGTTTTGCAGACAGAGGGTCTCAGATACTGTCTCCAGCTAATATCCCAAGCAGTACTAAATCTTTCATAAAGAAGGCAGCACTAAATCAGAGACAATGAATGTGTCACCCAGCTTAAGACAAAGTATTGCAATGACAAGCATAGTAATCCACTGTCTTTCAAATATTAAAATAACCTCCTTTTTTATTTTTGCTGAGGCACTACCCTTTGGAATGATATCCCTCAGATGGGTCCCACCCTGATAATATTTAGGAAGATATTAAAAATCTGACTT